ATTGAAAAGTACGTATATTTGTTGAAAAATTGTCATACAACCCTTTATTTTTTATTTTTTTATTTTTTACATAGCAATACAAATATAAGTGAAAAATTAGACTAATTTTACATCAAGGCCATGAATTTTTTTCAACGATTTTGTTGTAGGCATCGAGTGCAGCTCTATTCATAGCAATAACCCTTTTGGCACTGTATTTTGCCTTCCCCACGACATCTTCTTCATCCACGACAACCTCAATTTCGCCACTCTCTTTCCAAAAATCTCTTATTTCTAATGTGAATCCTTTCCTTTGACACAACTCTCGTAGTTTAACCACAGGATGTGTTGGAATGTCCGATGGAGTTATTATTGGTTCCAACAAATTCTTCACAACCTGTTAATAATTGTCATCATCAACATGCAATATTGTGGGAGGGTTAGATACATGTAAAAGTCGAGTCTACAACAACAACAACATACCCAGTATATTCCCAACTGGTTGGGGTCTGGGGAGTCAGTTGTACGCAGACCTTACTTTGTAATTATACAAGGAGGCTGTTTCCGTAGCGACCCAAGGTGCATTGCGTCGTTTGATATTGGGTCTAACGGTTAGAATTTAGATGCTTATAATTCTTCAACAATACAATTTTTTTTTTTTTTTGGTATATATGAGACGACTTAATTATTAGGCTGGTCGAAAATTATGATATTTCTGTTTAAAAGTAACCAAATATATTGAAAAGTAGTATGGTTGTCTTAATATAATATCTGATAAAAAAATGCCTACTTATACAATTGCCATACTTCTATTTATGTTGCTTTTAAAGTATGGTATTTTTATTGAAAGTATATATATATGCGATAAAAGTATGTCAGACTAATGATTAGGCTGGCCTAACGGAAGACCTACAGTAAAATAAGATGAAAAAACAACATAAGTATATTTTTGTTAAAATAGTATGACAGGTTGACCTAACTAACAAACAATTAGACAACCTCACATAACAATTTGTGAAATTTGTTAAAAATTATATTAAATGCGCTTCATTTTTATATATATATATATACATAAATACCTTCCATGTTGTGTCTGTAGAGGAGTTGGAGTCTACGAATATGGCGCCAATCAAGGACTCAACAATATCTGCAAGCACCTTTGGCGCGTCAATTAGTCCTGACGAGTGCAGAGGATATTCCACTATTGCATTTCTAAATTCCTTTATCTGAAAAATCACAAACGATCGAGTACATAATTTCAATTCAAGTTCGGATAATATATAGCAACAGATATATTACGAGTGAGAGAGCAATTACTTACTTGTACGGAAAGCAAGATTTTATTATGACGTAACAACTTGTGGAGCTCGTGTTTCAACGCCACGCGCGCGAGCTTCTCGGTGTCCACGTTCACGGCTCGGAGGCGGGTCAGTCGACCAGGATCCAAATCCGGGTAGGACAAGTATTGCTCATTGGCAATCAACAAGTTCAAAACCGAGTCCCCTACGTAAGCCAGCCGTTCCAAAGAGGCGCACGAGCCATCTTCTTCGTACGAGTGGTGAGTGAAGGCTTGTTGAAGGAGACTCGGGTCGTGGAATGTGTACCCGGTTATCTCGTGGATCAAGTTGACCCGTTTTGAGTTGTCTTCTTTTTCGTGCTCCTTTGTGTTGTTGTTACCTACTTGTTGGTCTAGTATGAGAAGGTCTTGGCATGGAAGCAACATCTGGTCTTTGTCTAATTCCATGAGGGGATAGATGAGAATAATGTAGTGTTTTTGGAGACTACTAATTGAGTTTTGGGGAGAGTTGAGTTGACACAAAATAAAATAACCAAAAATTGTACAAGTTATTATAATTGGAGACCAAGCATGAAACGTCACTTCATGAATGTAATGGAAAGTTCTAAGGGTTGGCCTTTTCATGTGTACGAAAAAAAAAGGGCATTACTATTTACCATTTACCGCCCCTATTACTAGTCACCGCCCCTCTTGGACGATTTTGCCCTATTCATTTTTTGTGTCCGCAAAATGTCGAGCAGCTCGGAGGTAAAAAAAAAACCGACCGGCCTGTTTTTCCGCACGGCACCGGTGACGTCCGGCCGACCGGACCGGACGGCTTAACACACGTCCGGCCGGTTCGACCGGACACGTCCCTGGCCGTGCGAAATTTGTGGCCGTACGAACCGGTCGTTGTACTAACCGACCGGTCGTACGGCCCACTTGGTGTCCGGCCACGACGGCCGGTTATGACCCGGTCCGGCCGGTCCGACCGGCCGAACACCATATTTTTTTTTTCTTTATTTTTTTTATTATTAATTTTAAATGCTTTAAAATTATTAAATGCATTTCAGGTGTCTTTAGAAGATTTTGGAGGAGATGGTGTTGATTATCGTTCCGCTTTCAATACAACTACGCTGTTTATTAATGATGTGGAGGCTATTAAGGATGCAAAAAGTACGGCAATTCTGAATGGTTTCTTTTTG